CCCAAAACCTTCTGGACCCCCAAAACGCAAAGGTCTAAAAACTACCCCAGGTTGGAACCTAAAGACGGGGTGGGCCTTCTGAAAGGATGGGACAGTACAACATGTCAACCCTGAACCCTGAACCCTAAACCCTAAACCCTCTGGGCGTCCTGGCGCCGTGGTACGTAAAGAATCTAAGGGTTCAGGGTTTGGGTTTAGGGGTCAAGGTTGACATGTTGTGCGATCCGGGGCAGGTTGCAGTAACGATGTTGAGCGGCTTCGGATTCAGGGTTTAGGGTTGAGGGTTGAGGGCTTAGGGCTTAGTGTTTTGGGGGGTTTACGGTAGCTCGAAACTCTAAACCGCCCAAACCCTAAAACCTAAACCCTGAAGCCTCGACACTAAACCGAAGCTACTATACCCTACCAGGGTGTCGGGCTTGAGATTTGCAGCTAGGCCACCGGAAATTTGAGCGACCCGTGCTTGTTTAGTAGCCCTGAGCAATCCGCCTAGGGTTTGGGGGGCAAGTTTTAGGGTTTAACTTGTAACAAGATCTGAGTGTGGTCCTCCTGCTGTAGCTGCTGAAGTCTGGCCAGGCCGCTTACATCCGAAAACCCCCAAACCCTAAACCCTACACCCTACACCCTACACCCTACACCCTAAACCCTAAACCCTAAACCCTAAACCCTAAACCCTAAACCCTAAACCCTAAACCCTAAACCCTAACCCTAAACCCAAAAAAACCCAAGAGCAGGATGTGTTGCATGCCAAAGAACCGGAAAGAAATCCACGCGCAGACGCGGCGCGAGCTCCCCGTGCATCTGGGATCACATCAGGGCTGCGGAAAATTGATTAGGGTTTAGGGTTTAGGGTTTAGGGTTTAGGGTTTAGGGTTTAGGGTTTAGCGTTTAGGGTTTAGGGTTTAGGGTTTAGGGTTTAGGGTTTAGGGTTTAGGGTTTAGGGTTTAGGGTTGAGGGTGTGTTTGGAATTTAGGTTCTAGGGTTTAGTTCTCTCAATTAAGTTCCCTTTGGGGGTCCGGCACCTTATAAAAAACGGAGCCCCCAAACAACCATCCTAATCTAGAGAACTACCTAGCGATTAGGCCAAGTTGCTGTTGCAGCGCCTAGCTCTTACACACGCAACCAGCTCATGCCTGGCAAACCACTGCGGCTGGGATGTCCGATCTTCTCATCTCCCTGAGCTAAGGAATATTCCCTACTTCTGTTGCGGGCCCTGCTATGAGTTAGGAAATCCTTATTTCAGGGGAATCAAGAGATCTTAGCCCCAACACCTTGCAGCCCTCAGACGGAGGACTTTGGATGATCTCAGCATTCCGGTATTGGGGTTCAAGGTTTTGGGCTGCCAAAGCTTGTGTCAACATTGGGTCATGGTGACACAAGCTTTGGCCAGCCTAAACCCTTGACCCCCATTCATTCGGAGTACCCTGGACCCTACATCCCAAAACCTCCAAAACCCTGTGCGCCCCACACCCTAAGCACCCCCTAAACCATGCTCAGCCCTCCCTAAAACCTGGGGTTTCGGGCTTAGGGTTTAGGGCTCCTAAACTCTAAACGCTAAGCCCTAGCCCTAAACACCCTAAACACCCTAACCACCCTAAACACCCTAAACACCCTAAACACCCAAAACCCCTAAACCCCTAAACCCCTAAACCCCTAAACACCCTAAACACCCTAAACTCCTAAACACCCTAAACCCCTAAACCCAAACCCTAAACCCTAAACCCTAAACCCTAAACCCCAAACCCCCTAGCCCTAAACACCCTAAACACCCTCATAAACACCCTGAGCCCTAAACCCTTAAACCCCAAACACCCAAAACACCCTAAACACCCTGAACCCCTAACGCCCTAAACACCCTAAACACCCTAAACCCCTAAACCCCTAAACTCCTACACCCCTAAACTCCTATAACCCCTAAACCCTTAAACCCCTAAACCCTTAAACCCTAAGCCCTAGCCCTAAACACCCTAAACACCCTCCTAAACACCCTCCTAAACACCCTGAACCCTAAACTCCTAAACTCCTAAACCCCTAAACCCCTAAACCCCTAAACCCCAAACTCCTAAACCCTTAAACCCCTAAACCCTTAAACCCCAAGCCCTATAGCCCCAAACACCCAAAACACCCTCCTAAACACCCTGAACTCTAAACCCTTAAACCCCTAAACCCCTAAACCCCTAAACCCCTAAACCCCTAAACCCCTAAACCCCGAAACCCCTAAACCCCTAAACCCCTAAACCCCTAAACCCCTAACCCCTAAACCCCTAAACCCCTAAACCCCTAAACCCCTAAACCCCTACCCCTAAACCCCTAAACCCCTAAACCCCTAAACCCCTAAACCCCCCTAAACCCCTAAACCCCTAAACCCCTAAACCCCTAAACCCCTAAACCCCTAAACCCTTAAACCCCTAAGCCCTAAACCCTTAAACCCTAAGCCCTAGCCCTAAACGCCCGAAACACCCTCCTAAATACCCTAAACCCTAAACCCCTAAACCCCTAAACCCCTCAACCCCGAAACCCTTAAACCCCTAAACCCTTAAACCCCTAAACTCCTAAACCCTAAACCCTAAGCCCCGGGCGATCTCTTGCTGAAGGTCAGCCTCGCCCGGCGGTGAAGGAGGGGCGCCCTCCTGGTCCGTGCGTCGGGTTTAGGGTTTAGGGTTTAGGGTTTAGGGTTTAGGGTTTAGGGTTTAGGGTTTAGGGATTAGGGTGGGTTTAGGGTTTAGGGAGTTAAAGTGTGCACTTTCAGTTCTGTAGGGGATTATATAGTAGCCCAAAAAGTGTAAAGTGTACTCACTCAACTACTGAGGGTATTGGTTTAGGGGTTTGGGGCTTAGAGTTTAAGGCTTTGGGTTTAGGGATTTAGGGTTGAGCTTATAGGGTTTAAGGCTTTGGGCTTCGGGTTTCGGATGTAGGGATGTAGCATGTGCTTTCGTGCTAGTTGGTTTAGGGTTCAGGGTTTTGGGGTTTGGGGTTTAGTGTGTAGGGATTTGGGTTTCGGGATTTGAGGATTAGGAGGCTTAGGTTCTGGGGGTCAAGGCTTGCGGATTCAGAAATTCGGTCTGCGTCTTTAGACCCAAGCATGTAAAACTCCTAATCCAGAGCCCTACAAACCCTAGAAGTCCTATAGTATCCGCGAGGCCCCCTAAAGCCGAAATCCCCGAAAGTCTTAAAGTCCTAAGTGTCCTTCTTTCCCGCAAGCCCAAAAGGAACAAACAAGCGATACATCTGTACGAAGCTGGGGCCTACACTCAATCCTAGAACCCTGAACCTGAAAGCCTGCAGGTCTTCACTCTAGAGTCGAAACCCGTTTAGCCCTGAACCCGAAATCCTGAACACAAACCCTAAACCCCTGAAGCCCTAAACCCTAAACCCTAAACCCTAAACACCCGAAGCCCTAAACCCTAAACCCGAATCAAGCCCCCTCACCCCCAGACCCCAGCAGTCCTCCTTGGGCCGAAAGTGCTCTTCGCCGAGCTTCCTAGCCAACCTGGGTCGCCCCATCAGCCGGCGGTTTAGGGGTTTGGGGTTTAGGGTTTAGGGTTAAGGGGGGTTGCTCGTTCTCTCTCTTTGGAGCGTTCAGGGATTTTGGGCTTTTCTTGTGTTAAGTTTAGGGTGTTTAAGGCTTTTCTTTCCCTCACCACCCATTTCGACCTTTGCAGGCTTCTCCTTGTCACACCAACCGCTCTCTCTCGTCTCTCTCTTTCGCTCTCTCTGGCCTCTCTCTCTCTCTCTCTCTCTCTCTCTCTCTCTCTCTCTCTCTCTCTCTCTCTCTCTCTCTCTCTCTCTCTCTCTCTCTCCCTCTCTCCCTCTCTCCCGCTCCGCTCTCTCCGCTCTCTCCCTCTCTCCCTCTCTCCCAGTCATACGTTGGGATGTCCAGGGCAGGTGTCTCAAGAAGACTGTCTCCTTACATACGTTTCCCGGACACCGGAACCCTTTGGTGAGACGCCAGTCGGGGGCTGGTGCTGATGTTTATGGGCACCTGTTGGTGAATGAGGGGATGGAATTGCGTTGTGCAGATTTCCGGAGTGTGCCCTAAACTCTGGGCAGTAGGTAGTTCAGGTCACTTATCCTCATATAGCCTCAGCCCATACACAGCAGGCACACACCTCACCTACACTATGTACAAAGCATTCCTTAAAATGATCCTGTCACAACTCTTTGACGCAGTGAAGCTGCCAGCCGCCTATGGACCTGCCAACAACTTGTAGCTTCCAAGGGGTTCATCGGGATCTTGGGTTGTTTGCAGGACTATGGGCGGCAGAAGAATTCAGGAAATGCTCTGAATAAACATTCATTGTTGATGCAGAGTGACAAAGCTTCGTGGGACGAATGCTGAGTGGCAGGTGACACTCACTTTTTGAGTGGGCCTTGAGGGTCTTTGGGTCTTGCAGGAGTTTAGGACTCAGGGAGCTGCCACTTCTGCCAGAAGTTAAGGTCCAATGAAAAAAAGCATTCGGCACGATGGAAAGGCACAAGAGGAAGGGATTGAACAGTTTAGGATCAAGGGCTTGCAGGCCTCTTGCCTCCATCTATTTTGATGAGAAAGATGTGCGTACCTTGACATTAAGGACTGTAAAACAGCAACCATGCTGTGGAAGAGAAAGCCGCATCCAAGCAGACATGCCCATATCTCCCAGCCGTTTTTCTACAGCTATGCAGGGCTCGAAATGGTCCAACCTCCAGCAATGCACTCAACTCTCGCAGCCTCAGGAGTTGCTTACAGCATAGTGATGACAAGCCCTTTCGAACCTTGGATGAATCCCATGTCAGGGACAACCTGCCCAAAAACTTAACGCAGTCGAAACATTCATCTTGCACACCAAACTCATGGGGTAACCCGTTTCACAGGCACACCCTGCGGCCCAAGCGAAGATCCTGCATGTCAGCATCCTATTAAATGCAAACCGAAACATGGCAGTTTTCAGAATTTGCTTTACCAACATTTCCTATAACACTTGCTACAACACACTATCTACAACCCAGTTTGGTCACTCGCATCG